GCAAAAATCAAAATTTCACCAGTTGTAGTCTTCGTGGTCCGAGGAAGCTGAGACGCTCCCTTCCTACTTGAATCCCAATCGAACTCGCGCACTTCCACCGAAATTGGGTGACTGCGCCCTACGAGATGGGGATTTGTATGCAAAATGTCACTAAAAGCGCCATTTCGTTCTTTTAAAAGCACGGATGACCGCGATTGGCCCATATGTTGTAGTCTTTTGGACGCTGAGTCGACTAGTTTTGGTCCGAAAAGGCTGCGATGCAGCGTTCCTCCTTTATTCCCAATCGAACATGGTTGAACAGGTGGTCACGTGCTCCTGCGTACACCAGTCACCTCGTCACCGTGCCTGCAGGGTACAACTTACTAGCCTGTTTGACCTTTTTTGGGTGCACTCCTGTCACTCGAGTTGAACTCGAGTTGAACCTTGGTGTGAAAGTTGTCGCCTGCTGGGGTGGTGACCAGGTGATTTGGGCACCCTGGAGCACGTGACCACTTCTTCAACCATGTTCGATTGGGAATAAAGGAGGAACGCTGCATCGCAGCCTTTTCGGACCAAGACCAGTCGACGCAGCGTCCAAAAGAGTACAACATATGGGCCAATCGCGGTCATCCGTTCTTTTATAAGAACGAAATGGCGCTTTTAGTGACATTTTGCATACAAATCCCCATCTAGTAGGGCGCAGTCACCCAGTTTCGGTGGAAGTGCGCGAGTTCGATTGGGATTCAAGTAGGAAGGGAGCGTCTCAGCTTTCTCGGACCAAGACCATTCGACTCAGCACCCCGAAGACTACAACTGGTGAAATTTTGATTTTTGCCTTAACTTCCCCTTTAACTCGTATCCATAATTATGTTAGTGCAATTAGGAGTATAATCGATGCAGACATGGCCAAACAACAACGAGTTCATGGAATTTTTAAGGATTTTTATGTTATTCAAAATCGATTTTCGTGTTCCGCTCATCAGTGAATAGTATCGGAACTGAGGGTACTGTGTACAACAATAGAACATTTTATAACAGCATAATTAATTAAAAGTGTGAACAACAAAGGAAGTGCTACAGCATTACATAATAGGTGTCAAACATAGTGCTAACGTATATAACTGAGTGCAGCCACAAAGCAAGAGGTGATACAGTGCAACATGACACAACATTTACATCTGATAACCAGCTACGAGAACAACTTTAGCGCGACTACATGCTTCTTTTGTTTACAAAGAACAGGATTATGCACACGAATACATACAGCTTCCAGAACCTTCAGCTGCTTAACATAACTTGCACGGCACAAAACAGAAAAGTGAGAATCTGCACTCAGTTATATACGTTAGCACTATGTTTGACACCTATTATGTAATGCTGTGGCACTTCCTTTGTTGTTCACACTTTTAATTAATTATGCTGTTATAAAATGTTCTATTGTTGTACACAGTACCCTCAGTTCCGATACTATTCACTGATGAGCGGAACACGAAAATCGATTTTGAATAACATAAAAATCCTTAAAAATTCCATGAACTCGTTGTTGTTTGGCCATGTCTGCATCGATTATACTCCTAATTGCACTAATAAAATTGCTTTCTCCACGCCGACTCCATAATTATGTTCTTTTCCTTTCTACATTACAATAATAATAATGATGTTGACGAGAACGGCTAGTGACAGAGTTGATATTCAAAGATTTGATAATAATAATAGCAAGAGTACATAAACCGGTTTATGTACTCTTGATAATAGTAATAATAATAATAAGGGTCAGCTCAAAATTCTGCAAGCCCCCCCCCCCCCCCCCAAGAATGGTGTTATGGAAGGGGGGGGGGGGAGATTCCAGCTTCCTGTTGCGGAGCAGGGAGTCGTGGAGATTCCCGACAACAGCGACTGTATTGTAGTCTCGACTCTTGCTACTCGCTGTACTCATCTGACATAAATGGTGCAACGACGCGGAGTGTACCCATATTGGTCTTTTACACGTGCCATGTCAATGATTGTGTGTACAATAATTGTATTTGTCGTAAACACATCATGCCAATGACATTGTCATGATTATTACCTGGTATCCGTCAAGCCAAGAGTAAGCTCTTGCCTGGGAGCTTGGTAAGAGTCTTGGTCAAACGCGTCTTGTTTCGGCCAGGAAGAGGAGAATCTGTTGGACTCGTCAATCGCTCATCCGGATCTGGATTTCCCGAAACGACCATCACGAATCTAGTGCGGATCCTCTGATCAGAAATCTTGGACCTGGATCACGACCGGAGCTGTGGTAGTATACGTCTACCAGTCTACTACGAACGCTCGTAGATCTACAGTACAGTGCTGTATACCAGGTATACGGGGTGATCTGGTGATGGGTACAAAATATTTATTTGTACGCGAACAAAGCGTCTACACTACGGCATGTCGCCGGTGCGCGCTGCACCTCGCGCCCTTTGCTAGCTGCACAACTGTTCACGTGTCAAGTTCAGGTCAGAGAAGCTACGCGTATACGGAGATCTGCCTAGCTTTTGCCGTTTTGGTGAACAACCAACCACGCAACTTTCTCAGGTCTTTTTGGGACAGATTTGGACGTTCACGTCCCTCCGGAGCTCCTAGATCCTCCGAATCACAACATTTTCTTGTGCACACCCTGTATTTTGCCTTGGAAGCCAGTAAAAGCCAAACCTCTACCTACTGTTTATATCATTGTGCCGCAAATTTTGATTAGGATTACGAAGAGTTCTGTAGAGATGAATGCTGGACCTGTTTTGGAGATGTATCGACAGTCTATATCCATAATGATCCATATGAGTTAGTGGAGTTCATGGTGACGCTTGCCAGCTCCCATAAACGACGGTTCTGAATGCTGCTGCAGATGGTATCTCGACCAGTCGAACCTGACTGAAGTAGTTTGAGCGAGAGGGAAGACTGCTTTGCTGTGGGAGTTCGACAAATTTAGCTAGTTTAGCCGGCATATTATCCGGCCAGGACTTTTGGTGTCCTTGGCCAATGTGTTTCCTGCCGTAATGACGCCTTCGCCAGGACCTATCTGGCTTGGCGTGGCCCCGTCGGTTCGTGGATCCGTTTTGCTGTTGGCTCTGGCATTCGCAGCGTGTGGTAAGTCCAAGTTCGAAACGCTTGTGAGATGTTTTCGCCTGCAATCTTGCCCGAGATGCATTTCGGTAAAAACTATCTGGAAAATTGTTGCTGAACGTGGCAGTGCCTAGGTTCATGTATATTTTTGAGACTGACACGCTCCAGAAGAGAACGGCAAAGGGTTTTTCTGCCTTATAAGGTGCATGTTGCTGACAAGTACCAAAATTCTGTGTGGCTGCAAGCACGTCATGGTGGGCTTGACAGGTTGTCTTCACAGTCTAACGTCTTCACAGTGTGAAATCAGGCCATCCTACACAATGCATAGAAAGGGTAATGTAACTGAGGCCGTCCAAGTGCTGGATGAGTGCTAGGTTGTAGAGGGTATTTCGAATGCTGGGTCAAGAAACCCGGGTTAGCCCCAGACCTTGCCGCGGAGCCCATTAGTTGCGGACTACGCCCACGTGTACACCAGCACACATCGTGCGCATGCTCATACACTCGTGCTCGCACACTCGTGCTCACACACACACACACACACACACACACACACACACACACACACACACACACACACACACACATGTACACACAAGCACACACACACACACACACACACACGTACTTGCACTTGCTCGTTGCAAGAAACTGGTTACTTGTTGCCTCCGAAATACACCCGATAGAAGTAGCCACTTCACAACATGAGCAACATTTTCCGGGATGAGGTACATGCATATGGACATGTAGAGGAGGGGAGCGCTGAGAAGCATCATCCAGCTGACATTCTCTTTCTGACCGAAAGCAGTGAGAGCAGGAACAATACTTCCGGGGGGGAGGGAAGGGGCAATCATCAGAAGCTAGAAGCTAGAACCTCTGAAGAAATTTCAGACAGACCGGCATTCTCAGAATCATGAACAGGCGCTTTCTTCAAGAATCCCTACATAGCCATTGACAGGAAGAAGCCAATGAGAGCGTTCAGGGATGAATTTACCTGGTATCGCATCGCAGGTTGCTACGCAAAATCGATCTACTGCCACTCAAAAATCACAGTGACACGCAGAAAACTGCGATACATATACGTACAGGCTCTCAGGATATCCATGCTTTTTGTAGCTTACATCACGATTGAGATTTTGCAAAGCAAAAACTACTATGCAAAACATGACAGAAATTAAATTCATCCCTGGGCCATTGATCCTTGAAGGGTGGTGGCGTTCCTACGGATGCGGAAAACTCGGCCTCTATATAGATAAGCCGAGTCTCGCGCGAACCGTGAAATTTATTTTTATTTTTTTAATTGCAGCTTGTATCAAGCGGGACCACCGGAAGCAGTTTTTGATTGGTCCCGTAGTTTCATGGCCCTTTATACTTTGTGTGTGTGATATGGCGGGTACACGCACGTCCTCCACAGTAGGAAACATTTGTTGGTGGCCAACAAGTTGGTCCGGTGATAACCTGACCAACCCGTACCGGCGCCGGCGGGCCTGTCAAGAGTGCATGGAACCCAGAGTGTGCGGCTCTGATGGGTTGCTGTCATGGCGAAATTCCATGATGACATCATTTTAGTGATGCGGTGCGCACAAGCAGGATTCAAGCGGATTTCTTTCTGCACAGCTGCAGCTCAATTGCACGTACTGCGCCACTTCCCCGCCTCAGATCTTCACCGAATATGATGTAATCGCGGGATTTCGGCGTGACAGACACCCATGCAGAAAAGTCAGAAACTGCACATTCTGGGTTTCATGTACTCCTGCTTGTAGCGATCGGCGTGGCAGAGAACTTTGTGCTGCCGTTCTGGATTATTAGCTTTCACAAACATTCTGATGAAAGTATTTGCGTGGATGCTGTATACCAGGACATTTTCGGACAGAACTATTTTCGTGTGATTTCGTGCCAAATTTAATACCGTACTAAAATTTCCCGCTGTACAGTTCTTGGAAGCTCAGCGCGTCGCCCCTTTCGATTGGCTCCCGTTCCGAGTAGTGGTGCAGTGCAGTTCATAGTACAGCTACCTAGCCATAGCACGCATGCAATGCGCCTTGGCACGCGCATACTGCATGCGAACATGTGCATTTAGCATGCAGCACTGTACGAAAATGAAATCCGCACCAAAGGTCGAAATTAAAAATTCCCGTTAGAAATTTTCCTGCTACACAGTACATCCATTATTCACAAAAGCACTGCAAAGGGCTGAATCAATTCTCACCGCGCAACATTTCGGCAGCATTGACATCTTCATGTACAAATGAGACAATGGTGCCATGCAGGCCGTAAAAGACCAGTTACTGTTTCCTAATGAAAGTCTGTCGCCGATAAAACAACAACAACAAAAAGACAGCAAGATCTTGATCCATCAGACGAATTCAGCAGCAACGGTGTAGGTGAGGCATATTGTGAGGGACTGAAAACAGAACTTGCACCAAGATGCAGAGAAGTGCGTGACTTCAAATCCCAGCTGTACACTCTTGGGGGGGGGGGGGGGGATGGGCTCTTTGCTACACCTGGCTTGTTCATCTGTGTGTGTGTGTGTGTGTGTGTGTGTGTGTGTGTGTGTGTCTCTCTCTCTCTCTCTCTCTCTCTCTCTCTCTCTCTCTCTCTCTCTCTCTCTCTCTCTCTCTCTCTCTCTCTCGCGCGCGCTCTCTCTCTCTCTCTCTCTCTCTCTCTCGCTCTCTCGCTCTCTCTCCCTCTCTCTCTCCTCTCTCTCTCTCTCTCTCCTCTCTCTCTCTCTCCTCTCTCTCTCTCTCTCTCTCTCTCTCTCTCTCTCTCTCTCTCTCTCTCTCTCTCTCTCGCTCTTTCTCGCTCTCTGTCTCTCTCTCTCTCTCTCTCTCTCTCTCTCTCTCTCTCTCTCTCTCTCTCTCTCTCTCTCTCTCTCTCTCTCTCTCGTGCTGCATATTCTTTCACGACTTGTCAACATACTAAATTGTGCATTGTGTCCATTTTTTGTTTGTTTAGTGTCCAGTCAGGAGGAGCCATGCCCCACACAGCCGCCAGTAGGCCCTTGCCCGGCCGGGTTTCTGAAGAACCCCGGTACGGAGCAGTGCGAGGACATTGACGAATGCCAGCCGGGCACGGCTCCCGAGAGTGCTCTGAGTGTGTGTAGCATGAGCACGGGACCATGTCGGAACACGCACGGATCATACTACTGTGACTGCACGGCGGGCTATGAGCGCACTGTGAACGGCACGTGCCGAGACACGCCCGAGTGCCTTCGCTACCCGAACATCTGTCGGCCCGGCGGCGCCTGCATAGACTATCCCGGCGGGTTTCGCTGCAACTGCTCGAGCGGTTACATGCTCACCGCCGACCAGATGTCGTGCAGTGACTTTGACGAGTGCAGTGAGACCGTGTCGCCGTCCAGCTGCTTCAGCCACGAGATCTGCCTCAATAGCATGGGCTCGTTCGTGTGCCACGCGCCGCAGCGGGTGTTCCTGGGTACATCCCCGCCGAGCGGGGAGACTACGTGCACCGACGTCTCGTTGATGAACATCATAGTGTATGTATTGAGTGGTGTCTCAGCATTACTCGTCGTGGCACTCGCCTACATGACGTATACCAAGTGGAAGCTAGTCGATGCATTCAAAGGGTAGGTTGTTTGCTGTTGCTGCTGCTAATGCTACTGCTGCTGCTACTGTGGAGTTTCACTTGCTAGTTCTCTCTCTTGCTCTTTATCTTTCCCTATGTTCTCTTTCTCTCCCACCGTCTCTCCCTCTCTCTCTGCCTCTCTCCTCTCTGTCTGTCTCTCTCACTCTCTCTCTCTCTCTCTCTCTCTCTCTCTCTCTCTCTCTCTCTCTCTCTCTCTCTCTCTCTCTCTCGTGCGCACACCCGTGTTCACGCTCACCCATATGCACGCGCGCAAGCCAACCAAAACTTGGAGTGACTTGCCAAGAAACGGAACAAGAAAAGGTATTTCCCCTAGTACCACGGTAGCAGTCTCACATATCGGTCCAAGGGGGAAACGTAACCACAAAAAAGGGCAGTGGGGTGTTACATTGCACGTGTTGACGCAACAGAGTTGTGTTGCATGCAGTGTGTCGGTACTGGAACTACAGTGGCGCTCAGTGAAATCCGACCCAGAGTGCACATGGCACCCTCAATTTCCACGGCCCTTGACACCCTGGATGTAGAAATGTGCAAATAGAGTGATGTAATCAGAACTGATAGGTCGCCGGTTTTGCACACTTGGTCGGATTTCACAGAAACACCATGGTGCAGCCAGACCTCGTTTCGAAAATGTTGTCTCACCCAATTTGTTTATTTCCGGTGAAGTATCCCCCGTTTGGCCGGATGACCTGAAATCCCGGTGCCACGGCCCGGTACAAGTATGCACTCTGAAAAAGACCTTGGCATAAGAAAAAGGACTGGCTCTGTACGGGTGGATGAACGGTCAACGGACCACATCTCAAGGAAAGGAGATGCGCGTTGCTGTTTCTGCCAAATTTGAGGGATATGCACCAGGTGTGCACGCGTTTGTGTGAGCCACAGCGTAAAAGTCTTGAACCAAGGCTTGGTTCCGCACTTTTACAGCCACAACCACTTGTCCTTGAAGCACAAGTGGCTGTGCCCTTGACTTTAACCCCAAGATGTGTTCTTTTCATGGCGCCTCTGTTTTATGTGAGGCAGGCTGATTTTTTGCCACAAAATACAGACATCTGTCCTATTTATCACCGTTAATTTCATCATCAGAGTATAAGCCGCCACCCCAGTATTGTTCAAAGTGCGGTTATACTACGGATAATACGATAACTGGGAGTCACTTTGACTGGACTTCCGGCTACGTTCCTGGATGTCCCGTGTATGGTGGTGATGTGCACGTGGAATGGGTCTCTTTCTAGAGCACATTGTGGAGTAGTCGTGTAACTGGTGAAACGTTGTGGAAAGTATTGCGGGGCTGAAAGTTTCTGAACCTGCTGTCTGCTCAGTTCCTGAGTTGAACGGTTTCGGTTCGAACAGTACAGTGTCCCTCAATCGGATGCCCTTCATTTTGGTCGTGTTTGCACCGCCCCCCCCCCCCCCTCATTGACACATTGGGTGCTCTTAGTCACCCCTTTCTACATCATCACATGGAGATCCGACCGTATGACAATGGCTTTGTTTGAGAGTATCATTATATTATTCTGTTGAATTATGAGGCACAACCTCCTTTTATAACACAAAAGTGGAGAAAAGTACCAAGTTCTTTAATAGTATTGAAAACGGAATTCTCAATGGGGAGTCGTATTTATGTATATGTGCGGTGTAGGACGCGGGTGACTGATCTTGCAGCTCTGCCTGCCTGCTGTTGTTGCTGCTGCTGCTCCTGTTGTTGTTTGTGTTGGTGGTGGTAGTGGTCGTGGTGTTGCTGTTGCTGCTGCTTCTGCTCCTGCTGAACATGGGCATGCTTATATTTGGGCACTTTGCTTTGAATCTGTTTATGCGTGTCCGTGTGTCTGTGTGTGTGTGTCTGTGTGTGTGTGTGTGTCTGTGTGTGTTCAGTACAAGTCGCCGCAACCTGAACCTGTTTGGCACGCCGGTGACGTACAACGACGGTGACGGTGATGCTGACGTGGACATACGCCTGGCCAACGGCCAGGTCGTCAACGTGCCGTACGACCAGCTCGTCACGTTCTCGCTCAACGAGGCTCCCAGCACCGGCGTCGAGCGCCACTCGTCCAAGCGAAAGCGTAACCGCTCCGCGTCCGGCGTCGGAGTCAGCAAGCAGTCCAACTCTGTGCAGCCGAGCAGCTCCGACTTGAAGTCGTTCGCCAAGCGGCGGCGCTCTCGGGCGAGTCGTATGTCCGCCAAGTCTGAGTGCAGTGATAGTGGTGATGTAACTGACGTTGATGAGAACACGCTGAACACGGATCCCAACGAGATTCGCCGCTGGTCGCAGCTCTCCAGCATACAGAGGAGCATGCGCTGCGAGTGGCAAACCAGTGAGTGGTTTTTGTGTGTGTGTGTGTGTGTGTGTTTGTGCGTGCGTGTGTGTTTGTGTGTGCGTGTGTATGTGTGCCGTGCGTGTGTTTGTGTGAATGTGTTTGTGCATGTGTGTGTGTGTGTGTCTTTTCTTTCATTATCCAGGGTGATTACCAACAGCCAGTGCATGCCGGAGTATGTGGTGTGATGTATGTGCGTGAAAAAAATGAAAAGACCAAAAAGTAAGGATTCACTGGCCAGAAAAAGCCACTTCATAGCTGTGTGGTGTAGACCAGGCTGAATAGTGGCGGTCAATTCTTCAGCCTTGCAAGCTGTTGAATGGTGCAATCCCGGCACAAGTTGCTATGGCTTCTGCTGTAGCATCGCTATCCTCGCCTTCGGCGATGGGCGTCAAATGGTCAAATGGTGTGTGTGTGTGTGTGTGTGTGTGTGTGTGTGTGTGTGTGTGTGTGTGTGTGTGTGTGTGTGTGTGTGTGCGTGTACTGTAAAGTATCTCTCTCTCTCTCTCTCTCTCTCTCTCTCTCTCTCTCCCTTTTTCCGTCCCGATGTTGCAGTGCAATCATAACGACAAGTTGACAATGCAGCACTCGATCCAAACAATATGCACCTTGTGAACTTGAGCATTGCATGGGGGCACGCGCAGGTGGCCGGGATGAGTCCACTGAAGCCTGCAAGAACGTACGAGTAGACCAGTGCTCCTCTGCTTCTATGTAGACCGCACGACACGCAGTTCTTCTTAGAAATGCACCGTAAAAGTCCGTAAATAAGCACCTGCCCGGAATAAATACCGCCTTCATTCTTTTCACTCTGTCTGTTGAAGTCAGGTCAAGCCCGATAAACAAACTGCCCGAAATGAGTACTGGTACGGTGCGCACATGCAGCATGTAGCATCACTGTACATCTACGTGAAAATGACTTCTCCACTACTGTTAAGTAGCACCCCACCAGCTCGTCCTTTCGTGGCCGTGCTGTGGAGCCGGTGGCCTGTCTGAAGGCCGTACGATGCGTACCTTGTACACACATTGCACACTGCGCAGTCAAGCCGTACTCTGTTAACCGCGAAGCCCCACACAAAAACATGCTACAATCAAGGTGGGGCGCTCTCGCGGTACTTTACGGTACACACAAGTCAGGTCCGAAAGTTAGTTTGTGCCCAAAAGTCAGTACCTGCCCGAAAGTTAGTACGGGGGTGGCCCCTAAATTCGAAAGTATTAATACGTTACTTATTTACGGACTTTTACAGTATGCTGATTACGGGCCAATCTCGTCCGACCCTGCACATTCACAACGACGGTGCTTGCATCTCACACCTGATCACAGGGTGGTGGCGTCCCATGGAAGCGGAAAGGTGGTGCTTGACCAGCCCCTGTACGCGGATCTGTGATATCTATCTCAGAAAATGTTTGGTGAACTGCCTGAGGAACACAGGGTGCAGAGCTTCTTGCATTATGGAAATGTAACCGTTTGAAACATATGAATCTTTGAGTCACATCGTTTTTTCCACTTAGATCCTCTATGAAACATACTTCAAGTCGGAAACTTTATTAAGTCACAACATGCTTCCTTCCACTAGGATCTGCTCTTTCTCTGTCTCTGTCACACGCACACACATACATACACACACACACACCTGTCCTGTCCTGTAGAGCCACTACCACTAGGGTCACGTGGGCCCCAGAGGGGCAGCAGAGAGAGAGAAAGAGCACGCCACCCGATGGCGCTCCAGATGCGAGACTAGTTGGAACCGGCGAGAGCAGATACACATATGCGGGAACTTGTCCCGTTCTCTGGCCGTTGGACGGTGGCAGTGCGTTGAACAGCGATGGCGGTTGCGTCCCTGGGTTGAGCGGAAACAACGATTGCAGACATACACACACACACACACACACACTCTCTCTCTCTCTCTCTCTCTCACGCTCACTCTCCCCTAACTCTACCTCATTTCATTTCTGTGCGTTGTGGTGTGTGTGTATGTGTGTCTGTCTGTCTGTCTGTCCGTCTGTGTTTGCCCCCTGTAACAGTGGAGAGTACGGTGGACAACATACCCGCTGGCACCGTGCAGTCCAGCACACTGGACTTTACCAAGGACGCGGCGGGACGCTCGTCTCAGCACGACTTCTACGAGGACATGCAGCTGCGCCGCCAGGTCAAGATCTGCGAGCTCTGCTTCAACGACTACGAGGTGCTGCGCAAGATCGAGAACGGCCTGGCGCACTGCCTACACAACGTGAGCAGCGCCACCTCCCTGTACGCGCTGGTCAAGCCGCCCACCTCGACGCGCTCGATATCCGACGGGCGTCAGAGCCACGACATGACGCCCGCCACGCAGGTGTCCACCGAGGCCGTGACGAGCGCGCGGCACTTGACGCTGGACGAGGACATGAGCACCGTGGACATCAGCGACGCGTTTCCGTTGACGACGCGTCGCTGCTCCTACCCTGTTCCGCCGATGCCGGACATCGTCATCGATCGCTCGCGCCCTTCGAAGTGCGTCCGCAAGCGCAGCCAGTCCGATGTCATCATGTTGACGGCGGCCGAATCCGGTGGCCCGGAGATCTGCATGGCCAAGGTAAACGCGGCGATCGACGCCGAGCTCAACCTGTGGGGTTCGGACATTCCGCCGGCCTCGCCGCCCGTCCTCCGCAGCACGCACAGCCTGCTGACGGACTGGGTAGAGTCGCCTGCAGCCTCCGGCGGCGACGGTGGCGTGGAGGATGAGAAGACCAGCAGAATGTCGACGTCATCGCAGCAGGGGCGCCGCCTGCTGTTTTCCCGGACCTCGAACAAGCCACTGTCCTCCGAGAGCTTCAGCGTATCCAGCTACACCAGCTCGAACAATGGCCTGCAGCGCACGCTCTCCAAGCGACACATCCTGAAGCGCCTCTTCAGCGTACGCAGCTCCAAGTCCATGATGGACTTTAACCCAGTCGGCCGATTGCCGTCCGGTGTCGATGAAAGTGCAAGCATAAGCGCGACGACATCGCCACCACAGCTGGATACACAATCTCTGGACGGTGCCCTAACGGAACCGCCGCTGTCAACGGCAATGGACCTGTCGGCGACCGACCTGGCCAAGATGAATCCCCTGGTGTTGAATAGCGTGACGTCGCTGAAGCAGAAGTCGCTCTTCTTCGACTCGACCGGGGCAATGTTCAGTGCCACTGCCGGGCTACCTCCGTCACAGCCAATGCTGGAGGTGTTCAACAACAAGAACCGTGAACAAGATACCGGAGGAGTGACTGCCAACTCGGCCACGTCATCGGTCGCCTTGGACCGGCCCAGCAACCTGAACATGTCTGGTGGCAAGGTGCAGGGGACATCCCCTTCGGCTAGGCTTCACGGCAGGACCGCCGGCTTCGGAGGTGGTGGCAGAGACGACCACCGCACGGCGTCGTGCGTGTCCTCAACGGCTCAGAGTCCCGACACGCAGGCGTCTTCCACCACGGTGTCGCCGTTCAGCAGCCTGGGCCGCTCGCCCGGAGTGTCTTTCTCGGCCAACACATCGCGCGACTTTCTGATCGGCGACCGGCGGATTGCTGCTGGTGGTGGCAGTGGCGGTAACGATGAGCTGTCGCTTGATGGCGAGTACGTGGAATGTGAGCCGGCAGGGTACGGACAGCAGCAACAGCAGCCGTCGGTGACCGGTAATCGTAGCCAGTCTGATGAGCAGGGCCAGGAGGGCGAGTACACCTCTGCCTACGTGCTTAACGAAAGTCTCCGCGGCCAGCACGTGCAGACGCGGGGTCTCATGTCGTCCGCTGCGAGCACGTCGGACGCCTGGAACACTGATCGCAAGGCGTCGCACCCGGCTGACAGCCGCACCGCCAGTCAATCGGGGCTTCTATCATGCCCGCGCCCCCGCAGCACGGAATACGACTACTGTCGGGTGATGCTGCCGAAGAAGAACGGTCCGCGGCGTCGAGATGCCAGCACTGTCGAAGGCAGCCTCGGCGGTGCTGCTGGAGCCAACAGGCAGCCTGGCTCCCTGTTGCGGAGTGCTAGCGTTACCCAGCTAGGCACCGACAGCATTGGCAGAGCGAGCACCTTGTCGTATCTGGACCTTCTTTGCAGTAAAATCGGCGACGGTGGCAGTATTTCCGCTGCGAAAAGAGGTCAGCGCGTCGTGTCGGCAGATGACTCGCACATCTCTCTTACCAACAACAAGGAGAGCGATGGAAACCTTGCCTGGTTGAGCGAGCGACCGAGAACCGTGCGTCTGCCGAGCCCTCCCGGCGAGAACTCGCCTCTGCGGAACATGTCTAATTCTCACACGGTGACGTATTCGCTCTGTGGACAGCTTCCATCGCCGCTAACAAATAGCAGTGCGGCACTCTCCGTGAACCCGCTGCTGCCACGGTCAGCATTCGCTAGCGGAGAACTGCAGGCTGACACTGGCAGCAAGTCGTCCTCCAGCAGCAATTCCATTGACCCGCACAGGTGCGCATCACTTTCGAGCATTCCTCCACAGAGCAGCCAAGCACAGCAGCAGCGAAAGGCCGCACTGCCCGCAAATATGCCCTCCGTGCACGTCCAGCCCTCTAGCAGCAACACTGTCGTGATGAGTAGCATCCGGTCGCCGCTACTGCTCAAAAACATCAGCAGTGTCTCATCCACGTCGTCCGACACCAGCTCGGTTCATTCCGACATGACGGCCTTGTCAACAGACTTAGGCGCGCCGTATCATTTGCCCTCGGGTCACTTGAGTGATTCAGGCACGGATGGTTATCGAACAGAAGAGGACACCCTAGCCACACCTCGATCTCCCATGCCACTGAGTTCCTCCAGCGGCCAGCATGCAGCCACACCCAGCGATGCTGCGCAGAGGCCGACCAACAGCACCTCGTCGCACCTGGCTGCAGCGGGTGGAGGCAAAGGCATGCATCGGGCACGCTCGGACGATTACGAGCACATCGTGCACAAACTGTTACCCGCTAGCAATGCTCACGGAGGCGGCAGCAGCGGTGGCGGCATGCCCAGCTTCTTGCACACGGGAAACGAGGAGAGCAGCGATCCCGGCTTTCGCCCTCGCACCTACAGCAGTCGTAAGACGAGTGCATTCCCGCCACGTCCTGTATTCATCCAGCAAGACTGGAAGCAGCAGCAGCCACAGCAGCAGGCGCCGGAACAGCAGCATTCCGTCGCTTATTCCCGCGTGCACTCAACCAGCACGGTAAACGGCAGCACAAGCACACTAAAGCCTAGCGAGTCGCAGTACAGCACGGACTCGCCACCTCTCATGACCGTCCACCTGAGAGAGGACTCACTGGAGAGCTGCGAAGCCGTGCTGACGGCCGTGAAGCCGAACGTGTTCCGGGTGCGCTCGATCGACTTTCTAGCCCAGCAGGGTGAATCCGACGTCTACAGCAACCTCCCGGGCAGCACGGGCGCTTCTAACGGTATAGACACTGGCACGCAGAGCAGCACGACAATCACACCGACTTCGCAGCAACTCTGCGTAGCACCATCGCCGGTGTCTTCTCGGCGCGGCAGCAGCAGTACGCTGGACATCGGGCTGCGCGGCATGAAGTCAGACTCCCTGACGTCGTCGTGCAGCGCCGAGCGCTACCGCATGGTGTATGCACGCGAGGACGGCGCCCAGCGGCTGGCCACGGCCGCCATCCTGGACAGCCCATGCCTCCGCCATCAGGCACCACCGGCACAGGACAACCAGGACAACGTGTACGGGACGGTGTTCACCGTACCGGCTGGCAAGGCGCCCGCCCTGACCATGGCACTCCGACGCCAGTCCCAGTCTCCATCGGCGTTCCCCGTCGTCGCCGCCGGCAGCAGCCCTGCGACGCACCCGCCAGCCACCGGTGTTCAGGAACGATTCATCGCCAGCGTTCACAACACGAATACGAACGCACCGAACAGTCTCGCCCCTCTGCTGGAACAGCAGCATCTTCGGCTCGCTCTGCTCACTCCCCGTGAGGCACGCGACTCTACTACCGAGGACGATGCGTATGGCCAGGAAAGCGGAGAGGAAGACGAGCCAGACAGCGTTCTCAGCACTCCGCCGGAGTTGGACGAGACCCAGCTGGCGCCCACAAGCTATCTCACCCCGCTGGATCTACTGTCCGGCCAGGTGCGCCTGACCGGCTCGCACAAGATGATGCGCTTCGTCACCAGCATCCCCGACAAGTCCGATCTGCTGCGTCTCATGCATGCGGAGGAGCAACTCGAGTCCTCGCCGCCTGGTGATGCCGTCGAACTGGAAAGCTGCGCCGATTACATCTACTACCCGTTTGACACCGTACAGGTTAGCGACAAGAGCAAGTACATCGAGACTAGCCACATTCGTCACGTCTCGCCCATGTCCCGCTGCCCGTCCAGCGACCGGCTCTCCACCGCGTCCGGATTGTCCTCGTACTCGTGCAAACGAGCGCGTGACGGCATCCAGGAAATCGACGAGCTCGATGACGTCATTGAGTACCATCTGTGATGTCATTGTCATTACTACGCGCTCAGCTCTGACCTCATCTTGCCATATCGTACTCGTGCAGGCGAGCGTGTGACGGCATCCAGGAAGTCGATGAGCTCGACGATGTCATCGATTACCGTCTACGATGCCATCGCCATGGCTATGCGCTAAGCTCTGACCTCGTCTTGCCGTAGCTTCGAGGTCTCCTTGCAGTTGTCATAATGTCCGGCACGTACTTCGTAACGGACGAATCGTTTTGGCTAGTCGCGTTCCTGTTTCACACACTAACAAATCTCTACATGTGCCCTAGTGTAACGCACTCGCACACGACGCTGCCGGTAATGTACTGATCTGTGCTCGCTCAGCTTTGCTGCTGCCTAACCCCGTTGATACACGCACACGTAGCTTCTAGCTGCAGGGGTGTGCTTGCGTCAATCTCCTCTTCTTCTTTTTTTCTTTCTCTCTCTCTCACTCTCTCTCTCCGGTATCTTTCTCCAAGCTGGCTTACTCTCGCTGGAGTTGGCTCTCTTCTGCCCTCATTCTGTTTTTTAAAATATTTATATTGCGTATTCGTTTCAGATTGAGTTTTTAATTCTGTTCGGAGTGGCTGCTGGCAGCTACGCCTGTACCAAGACTGATTCTTCTTGTTTTACTGACCTCATAACCCAACACAATTATAATTATACGTGTTCATGTAATTTAAATCAGCACCCGATGCCAGTGCACTTGTACTGTCTCAATGTGCATCTGTAAGGGTGTGCAACGCGTCCGTCTCTCTGTCTGTTGCCCGTGCGTGATGTTGATGCGTGGCATGTGTGTGTGTGTGTGTGTGTGTGTGTGTGTGTGTGTGTGTGTGTGTGTGTGTGTGTGTGTGTGTGTGTGTGTGTGTGTGTGTGTGTGTGTGTGTGTGTGTGGTGCATGTTTGAATGTGTGTGTGTGTGTGTGTGTGTGTGTGTGTGTGTGTGTGTGTGTGTGTGTGTGGCATGCATGCATGACGTGTGACGGGCTGTGTTAGCGTGTGTGTGTGTGTGTGTGTGGTGCATGTGTGTGTGTGTGCGTGTGTTGCAACTGCAGTGAATGCAAATGGCATTTCACCATGATTGACCTGAAGATTTTCCAGTTGCAACAAATGGCTCCCATACCAGTCCAGCAGATCTCACTGAGATGTTTCTGCAGACAACGCCAACCTCTCTGTATGGCAGTCAGTTAAATACCCACACGTAAACCTGAGACCGCAACAACGATGTTCAGTAGTGTGTGTGTGTGTGTGTGTGTGTGTGTGTGTGCGGGACCAGCAGTGGCAGGAGCGCATTTCTTCTGAGGAACTAGCCCGTCGTCAATGGCGGAGGTAGTACGCTGTCACCGTTTACGCTGGCTTGGCCACCTTGGGCGAATGGAGGATTCCCGTCTCCCCAAGCGCGTTCTGTTTGCCGAGGGACTCAACAGAAGGCCCAGACATGCTCCCAAGAAACGTTGGGGACATCGCCGCTGCTGATCTGAGTGCTCGGTGCGTGACAGGTGACTGGTGCGACTTGGCACAGGACAGACGAGACTGGCGCCTCATGTGCAATCGTCCCCGGCCGGCTGTGCCAAAGCCTAGAGTGTT